AAGCAAAGAAAAATAGAAAAATCAAGAGATTTACCTGAATCGGAAGTGGACGAAGACTAATTTTAGATTTGCTCGATTTTATGGTCATTGTGGCGGCTGCCGGAATCATAAGTTGCAATGGTGAGTGGTGTCGTCATGTATTTGAAAGGAAAGGGTGAAATTAGGTTTAACAAAGTGGAGGGAACTTACTCCAGAGTGATAAAACAAATTTGGGAAGGAAGGAAACTTACGCCAATTTCGTGAAATTAGAATTAAGTTGTGTCACAACTAGCATTTTTAGCTAGGAATTATTTCTTCATGAAAAATCAACTCTTGTATAACTTGTAATCTAAATTGATGTCATGTACTATTCTCATTCAAAATCAACCAATTGAATCAAAACTCCTGAGTGAAGTTCAAAACCAAATTCGATACATCTCATATACTCAACTGTGGTTTGAAACCCTAATTTCCCAGTTCAAACCCCTATTGGACTAGAAATCATTTATTGGGCCTAATAGGCCAATAAACTCACAACTTGGTTATTTGGGCTCTAATTGGACCCACTTTCATGAAACTATAACCTTTTGGGCCATGTTGGGCCTAAAATATCTCATTTCACTTTTATGGGCCTTATTGGGCCTCAAATGACCCAATTCATTCTCATGGGCCTCTATGGGCCTTGGACAACTCTCTTGAACAGTATTTGGGCCGTAAACCCCTTTCCTTACCAATTTTGGGCCGTAAAACCTTATATAGGCCCAATGGGCCGAAAACTTCTACATTGGGCCTTGTAATTTCGAGAATATACAACATTAGCCCAACATACTTTTTATTTCTTTCCCTCCCCTCTCATCCCCGGTTTTATAAAAAAAAACAAAAGAAAACAAAACAAACAAATGAATGGTTTAAGGCTTGACACCCCCTTATTACATGGAGGATATCCATGTTAATTACATCACAAACATCCATGTTCAAAGTCTTAATCCTTCATGTAATGACCATCTATCAAATCCATTCCCTTCCCTTTCTTATTCTCGGCCTAGGAGCAAACCCACCTCCATCTCTAATTCAAACTTCACTTCCACTTCTAAAATCCTCTCTAACTCTCACGAAACCTCTCATTTCCTCCAAGAAAAATCGTGTGTGCTTGGGTGTCTGTCCAAGAATACTTCATTAAAGAACATCATCTTGGTAAGATACCCTATATTCTAGTGATTAACTTCATCATCTGATAAATCCTTCATCCATTAACACCTCATTTCGTGACCCATGCTCTAGATCCATCTTAGGTTTGAAAAACTCCACTCAATAAGCTTACTAGGGCCGAGATCTCATCCATTCTTCATCAAAACCGAAACCATCAAACCAATGTGAGTTCATACCCCTATTTTCGGTTTTTACCATGTTTTGGGGGAGAATACAAGTTTTTTTGTGTGGATCTATGCGTATATGCATGATTATGTGTGTTTTTCATGTTATATGTTGTGATAATGTGTTATAGGCTACATAAACTCAAAAATCAGCTCTTAACAGAAACGTTTTGGTCTAATTATGGACTGTTTTGACCACCTTGATGGTAATATTTCTCAAAACTGTTTTACATGAAAAAATTTCAGGTTCATATCTTTAAAATGACTACTCTCACGCCTTCATATGATTTTTCTAAAATTTTTGACGATTTTTACAAAACTGCCTCTCATTTTAGGAATAATCTCGGACCAGTCGGTGAAGATGAACAATTTCACACTGGTTTGAGGCCATTAAAAATTATGAGAAAATTTTTGAACAAAGTAGACACAATTTCCAAACTCCCAGAGTTTGTGGATCCAAATTTCGACTTACGATGAATTTTGTATACTTTTTATAAAAATAGGGACAGAAAAGACAAAAACCAAAAAAATCGTTTTAACTTACTAAAAGTGCTTACACTGTGTTAGATGCAAGTTTATATAACTTATACATACTTTTAAAACATCTAGACATGTTAACTTATATGTATTTATATATATATATATATATATATATATATATATATATATATATATATATATATATATATATAAATTGTCTTGACAAACAAACGTAATAAACTATATTTAGTATATAGTTGAAGGTCGCAAACCACACTTTCAAAGGACACACAATCATTTAAAGGCATAATTATCTTAATTTCAAGGTAAAACGGGTTAAACGTAGCATTCACATCCTTATTCGGCCTGGAAATAATATACATGTTTAATGGGCCTTAGTTGTTCTTTTACATGTATATTGGGCACGGGATATACATTTACATTCCTATTGAGCCTAGAAATAATATACATGTTTAGTGGGCCTTAGTTGTCCACTTACATGTTTATTGGGTCTGGAATATACCTTATATGTTTATTCGTGTAAATCCGATTAAGAATCTAGTGAGACGTTTCGTTTGGCACCAAATGAGTGTACAAACGTAGCATGCAGTTATAACCAGAGTCTCCCGGAGAGTGAGCGTAAGTTTGTGTATATATCTATACGGGGGTGACGCCCCACACCTGAGCTGTTCGCTACAGTTAGACTAGGCCAGTCTAGGGTGATAAACCGTACCTTACACAAGTCGGCGTCTATCAGACGTCATGACAGGCGAAATTGTCATTATCAAGTATGGTTATAACGACTAACTTAGAGGAATTAACACCATTGCAAAATTTACGGGAAACAATCTTTTATGGATAACATGGTAACTTACACGCGTCGATACTGATTCTCAGATGTTGAAATTTCAACGTTTTTCATAATCAGACAACATCGGGTTGTCTAGGGCATTCTTTTTTTATATTCTCACAAACATTAACACACGTGCATTAATACAAGATCGTACACAAACATTTCAAACCATTTTTCGGAAAATATCGGATTTTCTAGCAGTTGCAAAGTAATACAAAACAGTTTACTCAAACATGCTTATGAACTCATCAACATTATATATGTTGACCTTTTCAAATTAACTTGTATTCTCAGGAAATCGTTGAGCAGGTTGGTCAGCAAGAATACCTGGATATTTTGGTTATGTTCCGTTATCTACTTTTTGGATATTTTGGCATGTAATATTGAAATACAATACTTGATGTAAACAATGACAGTCGTAATATTACATGTGTGATGATGATGATGTTTTGTTTCAATTATATACACTGTGATGATACTACAAGAATGAAGTCACCCAAGCCCCAGGGCGTTTCCGCCGTCTGGTTCGGGGGTGTGACAAGTTGCGCCAATTTCAGTGAGAGATTAGCGATAGAAAAAACAAAACGTGCATACCGAATTATAAAATGATTGTCTAAAGCCCACACTAAATGCCTTTATCTTCGGCCGGTTAGCTAGAGATGGGAGTGCATTGATAAACAATTACGAGATCCGTAACTGATCCCTCGGTAAATCCTCGTTAATATTCTATATGTTGAATTAATAAAATGATTGTCTACAACATCGTAGATCCATCGCAAAACCCTCGTTAAGCCTAAAATTTTCTAGAGAATTTATCTGTCACTAAATCCGTCGTTGTAACTAAAGTTTCTAGTAGTGGTTAGGGGAAATGACATTGTAGCACATTAAAGTTTCGTCATTTGTCCGATTTGGTCACTAAAGTTATTTTGTGTTTCAATAAACCATTAAACTCGTATTTGACCTACCAATTAAGCCATTTTTCCTGATTTTAAAAGGTTTACCGACCATTTCAATTACATGTCATTTAATATTTACTTTTAAAGGGAAAAAAATTCCATCTCATCTTTGCCATTTCTAATAAACTTATATATTTGGCCCTTCGATGACCCACCACCGTACACCTATTCTTTCACACCGACTCTCCTCATCTCTTTCTTCTTCGTGAGTTGCTAAGCCTCAAACCCTTCCCATCTCCATCGTCAGTAACTCAATCCACATGAAGTTCACTCGTCTCATTAGCAATCAGTGCTGAAAATTTTTGAGGAATCAGAAAAGATAATCACGCAATTGAGTTTCGGGGGGGGGGGGGGGTGTAAACTCCTCATCCGATTCAATCATGTATGGGATTCAAGAAGATGATATTGTTCTCTATTGTTGGTTGCAAACGCTTCTTCTCCATCTAACATCAATAATCCATTACAGTTATGAGTCCAGATTTATGCACTCCCGGATCTTGTGGCCCAAAGAACTTCACTTTCAACTAAGGTTGTAGAACTCGTTACTCGGTACCTGCTCCGCCGAATGACTACCGAGTAGCGAGTACTCGGGGAGTACTCGGATTTGGAAATTCATGTAGAAATATTTTTAGGGAAATTATATATGTCAAAATCATAAGTTGTTTGAAATATATAACAAAATTAGATACATGTCAATACACAAAAACTGAAAAACACATAATGGTCTCACTTCGTGAATAATTACTGAAAAGTTAAGATATATATGTAGTAATAATCACATGAGTGTGTGTTGAATAATAAATCATTAAGTATATTATACATATTAATTATTGAGTTGACCGACTTTTACAACACTGTTCACGTCAGTAAGGGTCGATCGGGGAGTACTCGGGATTCTGTAACTCATCTCGGTAAGGGGCCGAGTAGCGAGTACTCGGAGGAGTAATCGGCCAACTCGGGGAGTTTTACAACATTGCTTTCAACACGAGTCTTCTTCACGAACCAGATTTAATGGTTTAAATATTTGTTCTCCATGTGGATTCAACTACTCAAATAGCTTTTTCACCTCGAGTTCATGTACTCAAAACAACGATAGAGTCTGCACTTCATGTTCTCTTCGTCAAAATAGTTCTTGTTGGGAAATTTGTAACCTGAAGCCTCAACAACTTTAAGATCACCGGTTACATCAATTACACAAAATTATTAATCATAATCGGTTCATCCATTTTTGGATTCTTGTTAATTTTAATCCACTTATGTATACTTCTCTGTTTCCTCCTCAAAAAGGGTAAACAAAAGAAGAAAATTTCAGGAGAGAAAGAAACCAACACACCGGTATCATGCCATTGTAGGTCTTCGTCACACCATGTCCAGGTCTCGCTCAAGTTTTCCGACTTTCAAAGCTCCAAGACACCAAAGGACCATCTTCAGGTGGCTTCTCACCGTTGAACTGACCACTTCGGTTAAAAATCGCGATGGAAGTTCTAAAATCTCTTCCATTTCTCCACACCTAAATCAACCCTCTGCTCATAGTGATGTGAAAAGTTCAAATATTCTCATAGATTTCGATTGGGGTTGTGTAGCTAGGGTCATTCGAACAAGATGATTGAAAACATGAAGACTGCTTCAATGTGGGAGGCTTGGAACACAGAAATGATTAGGATTTAGTTAAATCTGAAAAAAAAAAGAATGAGACGAGTTGTGAGTAAATAGTTACTGTACCAGACTTGGATTTTTGAGGTTAGACAGTAAGAGATTGGTGGCGGTTCTTTGGTGGGGAGAATTTCCGATGAACACAGTCGGAAGAAAGAAGAAACAGGAACAGTTGTCTTGGGAAGAGAAAAAGATAACAAAGGGATAGGGGTAACATGTTCAGGCAGGAAGATAGAGATGGAGATGAGCTGGAAGCTTCCCATACGCATCACACACATCACAGTACCAAACAATAAAGATAAATTAATTACTAATGCCACATCAGATTTTGTTACCGGATAACCTGTTAAATTTTCGTAAAATGACTTAATTGATAGGTCAAATACGAGTTTAATGGTTTATTGCGCAAAAAAATAACTTTAGTGATCAAATCGGACAAATGACAAAACTTTAATGCGCAAAAATATCACTTCAAATCTAGAAAAAAAATATGTATCCTAATTTATATAATCTAGAAAGTAGAAATTGGAGTCAAGATGATAATCATTATGAAAACCTTAGGAAAACCAAAATTAAGGAGTTAAGGAAGCTAGAGCTTAGAAAAACGAGTGACGATATGAGCTAGAAATAAGAGAGCCCTACATGGAAATGCAACTTACACACTACTAGAAAGCAGAACTGGAAGCTGATGAATACTAATTTAGATTTGCTCGAGCTTATGATCTGAAGCAGCAGTGGATGAACCAATTAACAGATCAAACGTCTGATATTAAATGCTGGTATATATAAAAAGCATAGAAATTCTGAAAAATGGGTCGACCCGGTGGTTGAACTGTGACTCAGTCGCAATATTGGGTCAACTGAAAAGGTGGGTTTTAAAACAATGCTTACTATACACACAAACCGATCCTATGAGTTGACTATATCTTCAATCACTCTAATAATATTAAGAAAATCAAAATATCAGTTGAGGTAAGAGTGATGTTTAATTCTGGCGGGTTATACAAATTTTCAACTTTTTATACTCTGAGATGGACTCTTAGAAAAAGCGTGTATTATACACCTCTATATTGGCTATATTCCAGAATGAGTTTCAAGATTAGAACTTTAAAAATACGTAAATAAACTTAATGTCAGTGCTGAAACTAAAATACATGAAAACCCTCTATTGTCCGAATCGCCTTCTTAAAACCATTTGGATCTTGTAGAACATGTTGTATCTTATTTAAGAATCTTCAAAATCAAAACACAATTTTTTATAAGAAAAAACCTACAAACTGCAACATTGTAATATGGATGTACTGAGGGATTAACCATTATAAAATTTCTTAGTTGTGACAGGAGCAAACACCGTTACTACATGATCCTATGCCAATTACACAAAAGGAATTGCAATCGCTATCCTTATTACAATGTATGGGAACCACACGTTCGCTCATGTTTTCACCATTGCTTTTAGACAGAGATTGAGGGGTGGCTACGTGTTCTCTCTCAGGGAAAGCGCATGACATCTGCAGACCTGCAAAGCATATCTGGTTAGTGTTGAACTTGCAACGTTTCAGAAATTAGAGAAGGGGGGAGAAAAAACTGTACAAGAGAGGGAAAGCAATAATGCGACAAAGAAAACTATCTTCAGTGAAGTTCGCTCCATGTTTTAACACAGTATAATAGGAACAGAAGGAATAAGTTTCAGTATGTAACATGATCGTATGCACAAGATATATATAGAGGGAAATTCCGTAACAGTTAAATCAAAAAAGGTAGTCAAATTAAAAACACTAATAAATAACTAAATACTGTTTTAAGGAACATTTATGCTGTGAAAGGTAACACATAATCTTCAATTTATTTTAGATCTTTTATTTATGTTGTGAATAAATCGAATAGGCAAAGGAAATTGCAATTTAAATAGAGAAGAAAAATAAACCAATTGTTGAACATGAAAGCTTTGTTTCTTTTGGCATACATTATCAGCAAAACTGCTTTTTTACGAAGAGATATGAGATATATATACTGACCGAACTACTCCGTCGGCTATTACCGACGGAATACCCTCTGCATCGTGACAAAAAAAGAAACTGAACAGTATATCCATTGGCATATTTCCGACGGAATAAAAAGAGAATAATTTTTTTTAATACCTATCGTTATTCCTTTGTAAATGTTTATTTATTGTTTTCTTTCCGTCTCTAATACATCAAAAAATAAATAACCCACCCTTAAAAAAACAGAAATGAAATGTCCTTATGATTTTTCTTTCTACTCATCCTCTTATCAATTTTAAATAGTGACAAGTGGGTATATTTAATAAAATCTACCATAATAAATGAAAATGATTTTGCCAAATGTCATCTTCTCATTACATTGGACACATGTCATTTTCTAAGATTTTTTGATTTTATTTTTTCTACTTGTCATTTTCTTATGTTTTTCATTTTCTTAAAATTTAAAATTCATTTTGTAGTAAGAGTTTATATTTGGTAGATAAATTAATTTTATTAATCTTGAAAATAAATGCTCTAGCTGTTTCTTTCCTTAGTAAATATTTATATATTGTATCTACTTAATACACATTTCAAGGGATTAACATTAACCATTTTTAAGTCATGTATATAGGCAAATGTCTTTTATTTCAATATAAATTTATATATATATATATATATATATATATATATATATATATATATATATATAGCTTATATTTTTCTAAATATACTTAAGATAATACTAAGTAGTTTATCTATCTATAATATTTTTTTATATGTTATATGACAATTAAATAGTGTGTGTGTATATATATATATATATATATATATATATATATATATATATATATATACATACATGTAAGACATATAGAAACAATGAATAAAATGTGAATTTACATTTTACAAACTAGAGACATGTAAAATGTGTAGTGATTAACAATATTTTTATACCTACACATTTAAATTTATAATATCTCCATTTTAATAATTAAACTTTTTAAATTTGATAACATTTTAGCATCATAATTTTATTTTAGTATTTATAATTGTTTTAAAGATAAAAACATAATGTGGATTCAAACGACTCTAAAGACAAACGCAAACATATAAAATTATATTTGGATAAAGAAATTGAATGTTATGTCCACCATGTGAATATATGTCAATAGTTTTTTTTATTAGTATACATTGAACGACCTAATTATTATCATTTCGTTTGTATTTATTTCGAAAGTTTACTTTAAAAAAAATGTTTAATGTTTACACCTAAATTTTCAACATCATTTTTTAAAGTATGTTAATATTTTTATTAGTATATGTTGAATACATAGTTGATTAATGATTATATCCTTTTTATTTACGTAAAAGTACTATTTTTAAAAATACATAACGTTTCCAAAATCTTACAAAATAAAAGAAAATGATTTTGCCAAATGTCCTGTTCTCATTACATTTTACACATGTCATTTTCTATGTTTTTTGATTTCCTTTTTTCCACTTATCATTTTCTTACATTTTTCATTTTCTAAAAATTTTAAATTCACTTTTTAGTAAAATTTTATATATGGTAAATACATTAATTTTATTAATCTTGAGAATAAATGCTCTATCTGTTTCTTTCCTTGGTAAATATTTATATATGGTAGCTACTTAAAACATATTTCAAGGGATTAACATTAAGCATTTTTACGTCATGTATTAAGGTAAATGTCTTTTATTTAATTATAAATTTATATTTACCTATATATACATATATTTCTTATATTTTTCTAAATATACTTAAGAAAATACTAAGTATTTTATCTATCTATAATATTTTTTTAGACGTTATATGACAATTAATTAGTATATATATATATATATATATATATATATATATATATATATATATATATAATGTATATATAATAAGGAGATGAAAAGTTTTAAGACCAAGTCTTAAAAACTAGGAGGTTAAATTTTGACCATTGATAAATTTAAATGGTTGTGATTAAAACATAATAGTGTCCCATGTGAATAAATTTGGACCAATCACATAACATATAGATCATACACATCACACTATAAATTCTTCTAAACCCTAAATATTGATTAAACATATTATCTCTAGACAATACGTTCCTTTCTCTCTCTACTCTCAAGAAACCCGCATCCACTCCAATCAACACTCCATGTTGCTGTATCATCTTCACCATGAATAGCACCATTGGCCACTCACATCTGCCACCTCAAACGTCGCACCAAAGCCGTCAACATCGATTCACTACCAATCCCTGAATCCGTCCTCATTCTTTACCAAAGCCAAGAACATCTGCACCACCATCTTTCTCTCTTTGCCATTTTACATCTCTTTCTAGAAACTAGCATTATCTTTCATTCTGTCATGCACACACACACATACACACTACACAACAAATCAAGGTTGGATATGAGATACAAAGTCAGATTTGAGTTTTTTGTAAATGTATTTGGGTTAGATCCAACATTTGAAGGCACTGATATGTGGTTATCTGAGTTTTTTTGTAAATGTATTTGGGTTAGATCCAACATTTGAAGGCACTGATATGTGGTTATATATGTGAATGAAACCAAGAATCGACAAAGCAAATTTCGAATTTCATAGATATGAGCATAAAAAATATTCTTATTTTTTGTTTCTTCGGATTATATTTTAATCAGTTTTTTTAGGTTTATTGATAAAAATCATATTGAGTATCTTTTTTCATACGAGTTGTTTAATATAAAATTAGTTAGATATATATATATATATATTTTTTATAACTGAAAGTTTTATAAATAGATGATCAACTGCATTGGTGATTGATTATGATTTCTTTTTGTTGTTCCAGGTTTGGAAATGTCCATCAGATTGTGATGTGGTTTTGAAGAAATGGAATGGCTTGGCAAATAGTTATGTTTGTATATACGTGTCTATTTTTCCATATAGTTGGTCTTATTGTTTGCTATATTTAGAATGGTGTTAACAAACCTGGAGAGGAACATGTTTGTTAGATTTTTCTTAATATATTTTAAATAAATTATTCTACAGCTTATGGTAATGGTTTATTGGCCTGTTTTTTTTTCATTTTATTTATTGTTATGTGATTTATTGAACAAGAATTAGTCTTTGGTTTATAAGTTTTTAGTTATTCCATTATTAAATGCTTGATTGTCCGTCTCACATCATTCGTAGAGCATCTATTAATTTTCTAGACTTTGTTTCTATAGGAAAAAAGTGTACAATGTCTATACATCATCATCATGCATGCCATGAATTTAATAATCCACTCCCATACAAAACGCTCTAATTAATATCTATATTTACATTTAATCTATGAACTCTAGCTTACATTTATGTTTGCAATTAATCTCTTGAGTGAAATATTAAATCAAATGCTATCATCCTTAGGTGAATATCTATATACGGAGATTAAAAAAAAATCCATACTGCATTGATCTTTATGAGCCATTCAGTATCTTTAATTCCATGGATTTTCCTTTTCATTTTCGATGGAATCCGTGACCTTTAGTTGCCCTCATTTTCACCTTTAGCAATACAACCTTTAAATACCTATTAAAGTAAAAGGTTTATGATATTGACTTGAACATAATCACATTAATATAAATCCATTTATTATTTTATTTACAAATTGGGTTATTTGAATTTGAAATTTATTTATCTTATTTGTCTTATTTTATTAACTTAATTTACAAAAAATATTGAACGAAGAAGATATTTACTTTAAACAAATACTATATTATTTGTGTGGATTTATCGGTTAAAAACTTATCAAATTAAAAAAAATTATATTTTTACATGATTGATTCAAAAGGCCAAAAAATATAATTATATTTTATGTGTAAACAGTTATTTTCAAATTTAGAGATTAAAATAATAATATTTATTTCAATCAAATAAAGATTAATTAGTAAGAATAACAAATTTTTTATCTTAAAAGTATTATATATTTATTCTTAAGTCAAAACAACGATGTATTTTAAAATTTAACCAAAAAACAATATATTTTTATTTTTAACGTCAAATTCAAAATAATTTTATACTTTTAAATCAAAACAAAATCAATTTTCTTTTTCTTGAACACACATAAATCATAAACTTTATTCACCGGTTATGACTATTTGTTCTCGTAAAGTACAACGCTTATAAGGTGGTAATGTCTATGTGTGTATTGTTTCAAGGTAAAATAAAGATACACTCTTAAACTCTCTATGCATGTGTGCGGTTTCTAAATAATATTGAAAACAAAATTCTTTAAACTATTCAAGAGTGTTTTTTATTGCAACTCTTTCAATTTAAAAATTAGGAGTTATTCAAAATAGTGTAATTAACAAACCAAATGAATTTTATCCAAATTAACTATGATTATATTTTTATAAGGTTGATGGTTTAGGAGATAAATAATATTGAAAATAGTCTTATTAAAAATAATAAAAAGTAAATTAAAAGCTTAGTAACTTAGTAAATTAAAAGTTATATTTTATGGTTTAATACAACTTATAATAAACCTAAACATAAAAGAAATTCAAAGATAAACTAAAATTGAAATTTGGACTTAACCTATTAGAATCAAAAGTTTATTTTATTATTTTATGTTTTGTCAACCCATTAAAATCATGAAACTAAAGTTATAGCTTTTGGTTTTTTATAATTTCAACCAACATAAAAACTAAAAAAAAC